CACAGTTTGTTATACCTCCAGACCCTGCTCCTTCTCCTCTCTTTCTCTTCTTTAGTCCTCCAGGTACTTCCCGGGTTAGCAGCTGTGTTTGAAATGTGGTTGTGGGCGGAGTTTAGGTGGCATACAAGACAAACTTTGTGCCAGTTTTTGTTTAATGTGAGATGAGATATTATGTTTGGACCTTCTTTATTCATTTATTGCAGACATCTTAGTCAAATACATCAGTTTAATGTTTCTCAAACTGTGGTAAGCAAGCTCTGTGGTACTTGGACAGCAGAAATGACGTAGTCCACTTTTAGACCTGGTTTTGTCCTACATTAGACTTGGAATAGTCCGGTTATAGACCTGGTTTAGATGTGATGGTAAAAGAAAAGTCAAATCTTTTGTGTGAAAAGCTGGTGAACCACTGTGTTATTTTGCCCTGGTTCTATCTCTCAGTGCGGTGTAGGAGTCGCCCCCTGGCTGCAGGCGTCAGTACTGCCCGTAGCCCATCGCTAACCCAAACCCCGCCCCCATCCCCAGACCCAGACTCTCCCTGAGCCCTCGGAGCTGCTCCTCTCCCAAACGGATCTTATCCTCCAGCTGCCTCTGCTCCACCAGGAGAGCTGCCTTCATCTTCACAAAAGTGACTGTGGACAGAACACACAGAGTAACATTATTTAGCTTTTATTTAGTGTTCATTATTATTTTATTTAACACAAAAAAGTCCTTTTTTTTCTCCCAGGATTGGCTGTAGACCTCTTCAATAAAAAGACCTGAAGACATGAATCTCGATCTAGACTATAATTAAATTAAAGAGCCCATATTACTCCATTTTCTGATTATTAACTTTATAACATGGATTGAATGAGATATAATTATAGAAAACCTCTGCTGTGAAAGAACTGTATGTAAATTTTAAACATGTTACCTCCCCAAATCCAATACAGCTTTTACTGATAACAAATGTACTGCTGATTCATTCTTAATAATAAAAAACATTGGACATGATGGCCCATTCATTTCGTCAAATCGTTTTGGGTGAGAACGATTATCCAATCAGAAATGAGTCTCACATGAGTCTCTCATTTGGGTTGCCAGTTTCAGTAATGAAATCCAGTGTGTTTAAACCTAAAATGTCTCTCTCTGATCTGAATGGTCACTCCCTAAATAACAGCACCTACAGCCAACCATGAATCAGTGCTAGTGCAACCTCTACAGTTCAGTGAGAAAATTCTGGAGGTTTTGAGCTTTCACATGAGCCACAATCTATCCATATAATCAGAATGAGACAAACTTGGATGTGTCCTCTATCTGTAGGTTAAGGCTCTGGGAACACAGGCTCAGTTGTGATTATAGAACTTTGTTTAAACAGTAAGAGTGAATACAGTTCCTTAAATCTGATATTCATTCATATCTTGGCTCACCTGTAGTCTCTGTGCTGCTCCGGGCTCAGACAGCGCCCTAGGACTCGGCTCACAGCCTGCTCTCTGCGATCCACATGCTCCTTTAAGTCCTGAGCCTCTGACAACTGACGCATGAGCTGACGTTTCTTCTCCTGTAGGGGGAGCTATTCACCAGAGACACAGAGAAGAAGGTCAGGTGGAGCAGAGGAGCAGAGAAGAAGGTCAGAGGAGCAGAGAAGGGTCAGACAGAGCAGAAACTGCAGAGAAGAGTGACCCTCTTCAGAGGATTCTGAGAGATGCAGAGGATTCTCACCCTCTCCTCGTGGTCACTCTGGGAGTCCAGCGTGTCCAGAGTTGTCTCCACTCTGAGCAGGCGTCCAGACAGAGACAGCATCAGACTGACCACTTTGTCCAAGTCTCCGATGAACATCCTGAACTTATCCACCTCATTGGGTTTACACACTGACACCACCATTGCCTCCACCTGGACACACAAAGGCATTTATTACATTTGTTACATTATATTCGGGTCTATAACTGATTTTAATTCACTATTATAATGACAAATGCTCTTGAATGAATTATGGTAAAAGCTGCTAAATAAGAAATAATTTGACGCTGTAAAATATAATGCATTCATTTTACATAGCATTTTCACATGTAATAACCATAGACTATAAAGAAGTGGACTAAGTGAGTGAGTGTGACGTCACCCATAGCATTCGGCTCCAGTCAAATGAAGCTCATGAGTGGTTATAGGGGCGAATTTGGAGCCAGTTCCATATTAGGAATAGCAATTGATTAACGGACAAATTGGCAAAATAAAACCCCGGGTAAATATGAAAATTTTAAGACCAAAATGATGAGGCTCAGAGCAGCAATTACAGGGAAAGGGGTGACAGTTTCTTAACACAAAGCGGAAGATGATGGAGCTGGAAACATGCCCATGTTCACCTCCTATGTGCAACACAGCAGCTAGTGGGTGAGCTATGTCCATTTGTCCACGATAATAACTAAAAGAGAAGTAACTAACAGGGCTACCTGTACCTCAAACACATTGTTGATAAGAATCATGGGAAATCAACTGCCTAACAGCATTCCCCACACTTGATCTGTCATGATGTGTTTTCACCTTATTTCAACCTCATACCCCCTAGTTACATGGCGTTTGCTGTACTCCCTGTGTCTTACCTCTTCTCCTAGTTGTGCATTGGCTCTGATGTCCTCCTGAAGTCCTCTCTGAGCCTCTCTCAAAACTCCCAACTTCTTCCTCAGACTCTCCATCAGCTGCTTCTGTGAAACACAAACAAGAACGTGATTAAAACTTGTACATCCATGTATTTGGACAAAATGCATCTTGTCCCAGTGCAGATATATTTTATAAGCATCTCTTGAGGTCAAAATAAGTCCACTGTGTACTGTCTGCATCTGAACAAACAGTGCTTTATTCACAGTACACATTTTCCTTCATACAGGAAAGTAAAAAATAAAGTTTCTTTCCAACATCATAAAGTATTTCGTAGTTCATCCCCAGTCATTCTCCAAGCTCCTGGATGCAACGCTCGGTGTTTACCCGACTGTAGTGTTTTTAGAGACTTTGAAATTGCATCTGAACTTTATTTTGACACCATATGCTTATTTCCTGTCTTTCCCCTGCTAAATCATGAAGACGGTGTGATGACACTGAAAAACTGTAACTTCAATCCAATTTGAGTGCTGCGTAGTGTAATTACACGAGTGTATAACATTACTGGTGTAAACTGTCTAATAATAAAAGTGATTCCTGCGTATATGCCGGGCTGTTTCTGCTTTGGTGTGTACTAGTTGTATGCTGGAGTTTTACCTTGTACATGAGTTCGTCCTGGTTCTCTCTCTCCTCGGTGAAGTCCTTCATCTGTGACAGAAGCTGAGCTTTGGCTGTGGACGTGCTGTAATAAGATGAGCAGCTCGAGCTCGTACCAGAGCGCCTACCAACAAAAAGAAAATATTTATATTATTAATAAAAATATCACTGGAACAACAGAAAATATATTATTAATACTATTAATATTATTATCACCGGAGCATATGAAAACAACAAAAAAATACAGTATTACAATAAAGTAATCAGTTTCCATGGAAACAAGCAGGCACAGCACGTCACCTATACAATTCCATGGAAAGTTAAAACTATACTTCATAACATTATATGGATATTGTAGCATTAACATTATGGTATGATATGATAACATTATGGATATGGATAAGTTTTAAGCCGTAGTGTCGCATATTGTAGTCATAGGAACAACATCTCCATGGAAATAAGATGGAGTACACCCTCCAAGCCAAACAAGAGTCAGGTTTGTGGAGATGCAAGCCCACTCAAGGACACAAGTTTATCAGTGCAATAAACAAAACAAAAAACACATGTTGCAAACTGTGGCTTTATTTCATCATCATAATATTTGATTAGTAATTAATTATAAATGTACCTAAACTAGTAAAAACCTTTAAAAGTTCTTCTAAACCATGAATCATTTTCTTGTTTGCTTTTGTCTGACCTCAGGGCAGAACAGAGAGGCCACACAGACCCATGACTCAAACATTAATCAGTCGTTATCGTTCAGTGAGAAACACCAAAAGGCTAAAGCTAAAGGTCTGGGTTTAAAACAAGCAAAAACACAGCACGGATACAGATCAGGCAGAGGCTAAACAGACATGCTAAAGCTAACCAGGACTGATAAAACACACATACACAGTTATAACCTTTTGTCAGCTAAGGCCCTTAAAGGTGAACATTCAGCCTCGTGGGAATATTTCATGAGAATTAGTTTAATATTTTTTAACATGATTTTAGTTATTATTATTTATTTTAAATTTTTGGAGGTTGAGCTGTTAAAAGGCTCATATCACGCTATTTTCTGATGTTTTTTCCTCATCAAAAATATACGTGGAGTTGGGTTTTGTTTCATTCACACACAATGAAACAAAAACAAATCTTGCATATTTAGTTTTTAAACTCCATACACCTTCACTAGAATCATTTGGATAATTTCAGCCCTGGAATTGCCAATCTCTACTGAACTAAAGGTAAAAGGTAAGAGTTAACTCTATCCCTCACCTGTCCAGACTGTCGGTGTTGTGCTCCGTGCTTTGGGAGGCCTCTCTCCAGCTTTCCGTGCCTGATTCACCCTCACTACTCTGGGGGAAGATCTCCTCAAGGCTCCCCTCCTCCCGAACCTCCAGCTCTTCTTCCAGGAGGCTGCTGTCCGGCCGAGCTGTACCCAAAGGAGAGGCCTCGTGCTCGGGTAAAGTGTCCAAGTCTGTCTCCAGCACCGTCACTGGGAGAGCCAAGCATGGGAGCTCGCTGTCGATTGGCTCGTTCACCACAGGAAGTGCCTCCTCCTGGAAATCGTCGATGTCCGTCTCCAATGGCAACGCTTCCAAATCGGCCTCTAAACTTTGAGCTGGACTTAAAGTCGTCTCTGATTCGATTTCGATGTTTTTTGCTTCGATCATGCCGTTTACATTGTTAAAAGTTTCACATTCGGATTTCAAATTGTGGTTTTGTTGTACGCTAAAAGACACAGGAGTTTCTGGATTTCCATTCTGAAAAACAGGAGGAGGTGGAGGAGGAGGAGGGGGAGGAGGGGAAGGAGGGGTCTCGCTGTGAATCCTGGGAGATGTAGTTCTTTCCCATTCAGCTGCGTGCCTGTGCAATGGTTGGGTTGTGGTCATTTGCTCATGGTTTAGGTTGGTCTCTGAGTCGGAAAAACTGAAAAAACCCCAAAAACATTATGATTAAATTCAAATTATTGCTTGCTAGAAAATAAAAACACACTTAAAAACAACTTTCACGAGTACAAATAATAGACAGAATTATTTGGAATAAGTGTTCTATTAATAAGTTACATAAATATTAGCTGACACACAGGGATACAGGAAGAAGGGAGGGCATCCGACACAGGGATAGAAGAGGACGGAAGGGCATCTGACACACCTGTCTTCCAAGTCATCCGCGACAGGTGGAGGAGGAGGTGGAAACTCTTCTATCTCGTCACTGGCACTTCCCCTGTTGTTCCACTGAGGCGGCGCAACTGGCCTAAAGCCGCGTCGCGAGAACATGGGGCTAGGGGGCGCTATGTTGAAGAGAGGTTCTTGCAGCTGATTGGACGAGAGCTGAAGTGGAGGCAGCTGATTGGCCGGTGGGACGTAGGTGGGCTGTTTATAGGCTGATAGATGTTGTACATGAGATGGTTGGATTTCACTGGAGGAATCCGACAACGGTTGAATCTGATTGGCTGGCGAGACTTCCTGAAGCTGTCTGTAACTCGGCAACACACGAGGAGCTTGAATTTGATTGGTTGGGATGTGATGGTAAGGCCGGCTATGATTGGACAATTCATGAGAGGATTGAATCTGATTGGCGGAGACAGAATTTTGAACTTGAGTGGGAGGGACTTGGCTATAGCGCTGAATATCTTGAGTCTGGTGAAATCGTTGATGGTTGCCGGTCAAATTTTGGTGCAAACTTTGAGGCACTGGCTGGTCCTGGGGTAGATTTGGGTGGTTGTTTCTTGAATTCAGGGCTAAATTTTGATCTTGGGATAGATATTGGTGGTTGTTTCTTGAACTTTGAGGTAAATTTTGATCTTGGGGTAGATTTTGGTGACAAGAGCACTTTGAACATGTGGTAGTGGCGGAGCTGAGTTCTTCTCTCCGAGGGGGCAGACTATATAGGAGCGCTGTCTGGATGTTTCTGGTTCAAATGAAGACTGGCTGCTGAAGGCTCCTGTAGAACAATAAATATAAGAACGTTATTAGTCAAGAACTTTTGAGATAGAAGAGAATTACGGGAGAGTTTATTTTACTTCTATGGGGTATTAACTGCTAATACAACAAATTTAGATCATCATGTTTTAGGTTTTAGTGTTTTGAAAATGCTATATTCACTGACAACAACTTATTAACACCTTAAGTTTGTTTTTGATGAGTCTCCCTTATATTTGCTCTGCGCATTTAGGCACACCACCCTTCAGAGCACTATCAAAACACAATCACCACATCAGGTTTGTTTGTTTTGTATCATGTTTTTGTATATTTATGGAGAATTGTGAGAGCATGGGTGACGTAAGCTTGTGATGGATAATTACTCAATCATTATCTAGGCCCAATTAAAATGTCATATTTCAGTGATTAATCTTATAATCTTTCTAAATTACAATTACACACACAAATGAATGCAGCGGAAACACTGAGATATCACGATATCTCCATTCTTCCGTTGTTGTATCCCTAATGAATAATGCATTTTTTTTCTCTTGAATGGTAAATGGTCACATTTTTATACAGCACTTTTCCACCTTCAATGCACTCACCCATTCGTATATTATTGTACACAGACACTGGGGGTGAGGGGGTTAAGTTTTTTGCCCTATCACACAACAACAACAATATACATCTGTGGGAGCTTGTTGAACCACCAACCTTCAGATCAGTGGACAAACCCTCTATGAACTGAACTACTGTCTCTTACCTGTCACTGTTTGAGGAGAGGAGTAGATGGCGTGATGCGAGGCTCTCCTTTTATGAAACTGTTCCCATTTGGGAGGCGGGGGTCTGGGAGGAGGAGGGGCCTTCTTCTTTGCAGCTTTTTCTCTCAGGTTCTGGTTAACTCCTTCGTCCAGTTCGCTCAGAGTCTGAGTGCTGGCAACGGAGAGAGAGGGGGACCAGCGGTGGTGGGGGGCCTCGAAGCGCAGGTCGTTTTCGGACATGGCCCTGGTGCGGAGGGGGCCAGGAGCAGGTGGAGAGACAGGTGCAGAGTGATCGTTCTGTCTGTGTGTCCAGCGGCTTTGCTCCACAGCTCTGGGCTCCCATCTTCTGCTTGAAAAGTCCCTGTAGAAGGCAAATTATTAAAATTATGTGCTTAATTTGTCATAGGTTAAAGGTGCATTGTGTAACTTTTCTGGGGCACTGTCCGTCGAATGCTTTTCTCCATGGAAATGTTATTGCTTTGTCTGGAATGTTTCACAGCATGGTATTAAACCTTTCTATTCTCACGGAGACCAAACTAGACCAAGTTACACATCAGATTTGTGGAGAGGCAACACCGCTCACAGTCAGAATGCCTGTTTTTTTAGATATTTTTTGAGCTGTAAAACCACCTGTAATTTAATAAATATACAGTAGAGCTATTTAATGTCATACTGTGGAACATTTCAGGTAGCAATGACATATCCATAGAAACAAGCATTTGAGGTTTTTTTTCTATATTCTAGTCTAAATGTTCATAGGGTTAGGGTCTGCGTAATTTCTCGGTTTCACTTTAAGTACTTTGAGTTTCGCTTTTGATAGTTGAGTCCCCTCTAACTTTGCTTTCCACGCTACGCACTGCCCCTTCAGAGCACCATCACAACACAATCAGTGTAGTCAAGTCGATTCTGTATAATACCCCGTCTTTAAAGCAAATTATACATTTTTGGCAGTGTTGTGCAAAAGCTACAGTGATAACAATAAAGTAGACATGACTTAATGTATAAAAAACACAGGTTCTTACACAATGGGCCCTTACATACACAAATTCAACAAAAATCCTTGTAATTAGAGATTATAGGCAGAGACAGTAAGAGCAGGATTTCACTAACTACCCCCCAGAACCCTGCATCTATGTGTTAAGTACAAACTCAGCACAACAGAAATAATAAGTGACTCCTCTTTCATAAAACACAACATAATCTAAGCAGCTCAATTTTTTTTTTTTTCCAGGGAGATTTAACCTGCGTTTCCACGTTCTGATGTTTTAAATTGAAGGGAAAGTGGCTAATTATCGGTAAATACTTCCTAGCTGCATTCCTTCCTCAGTGAACTGATTCTGCGCAGGTTAAAAACAACTGAGGGCTTTTCAAATATGTTCCATTCTTTAGCATTAGCGAAATCACCGTTCACCCGTGGATTTTTACAGGAACATTTTGAGCAAAGATTATTGGGGTAATTGGGTTTAATCAGGAAAAGCACGCACCAATGGTATTTCCGATTAATTTTTTTAAAAAGTAGTTTTGTGTGACTAAAATGTTAAAGGGTCCATTACACTATTACGCTATTTTCTGATCTATGCTATAATGTGGTTTCCTCATCACAAACATACCTGGAGTTGTGTTTTGTTTCATTCACGCAAATCCTGCATATTTAGAGTTCTTCTCTCAAACAGGAAATACTCTCCCATGAGATGTAATTTGGGAATCCAGGAAGTGCGTCACTGTGTTTAAAAATGCCATACACCTTCACAAGGATTATTTGGATAATTTCAGACATGGAATTGCCAATCTACACTGAACTAAAAGGTAAAAAGTAGCCGTTAACTTGAAAACTACCACTTCATAACATCACAAGGTGGAACAGATGTAGAGAAACTAATAATCTTGGATTACACAAACATCTCTGGGTGTGTTTTTGATGAGGTAACATTATAACATGACTTAAAGCTCACAAGAGTAAATTTTGCATAATATAGGAAAGGCTCTGTATACGATTTTTTTCTATGAATTTGTACTTGCCTAGGTACAGATATTTTTTTTTTCATAAGGTCAAAATATGTCTACTGTGTGCTTTGTGCCTCTAATTAGAAGATATGATTATTGTCTGATCATCAAAAAGTACACATTAGCATTATACTTGTTACTGTCACTGTTACTGCAAAAATCCACCTGGTCTCTAAGTTGTGAAAATCACACAAAGAAGGAGATTTGTGTGCTGAAATCATAGAAATTACGCCTAATGTGATTGTGCTATTTAAACAGTTTTTATTCCCACAATGCACCTGGGGCCTAATTAGCCCCACAAAAGCTTATATGGTTAAGATCTCGACTATAAATCAGCCTTAACATGTCTCCTCTAAACAAGATGGCGGCTGTTGCGAAGGAGGAAGTGTCTCACCTCTCCGTCAGGCTGTACTTCCTGTTGAGCTTGGTGGTTTCCTGTTGCCGGGCGGAATACATCTGTAAAAAACATCAACCAGTGGAATTAAAGGAGAGGTCATATCTGCAGCGTAAGTGTTGAGGGTGGTGCAGGAGCGGAGGCGATTAAAGGGGAAATGGCACCTCCACCCAAAATCACAGGAGACTCGCGGTCACAAAATTATGAAACCAGCACTTGGAGTAGTTTATAAGTAGGGCAGCAACTAACAATTATTTTCAGTAGTCAACTAATCACCTGTGGATCATTATATTATAGTTTGCACATTTTAAATAGCAATATTCATCTAAAACTTAATAAAAGAAACAAGTCTACTAACTTCCGTGTTAGAAAACTGTGGTGTCCAATGGAAACTGGTGTCGCTGTAAATGTCATCACAGCAGTCAGCATCTCCTATGGACAGCTGCAGATCACACTAGCGAGTAGCTGATTCTTTTTATTTGTACCAAAACGACTACACAACAACGTCAAAGATACGTATTTAAAAAAAACACTAAGTAAATAGAGCACTGTTGGCATATGTTGGTGGCGGTGAAAATGGAGGTTCTTTGGCAATATGGTGTCTTGAAAATAAGCGATTAAAGATTACTCAAACATACACGAATTACTCCAAATACAACTTCAAGTGAGTAAATGGTGTGGAGAAACAATTATAATATGGTTAAAAGCTCTGAAAAGTCAATTTTGCAAAATAAGTCTGCTGTTAAGAGCCTGTACCTGTATGCATCTATTTATAAAAAGCTTTATCGTCAACTAATCAGGAAGTACGCGGTTAACATGATAGTTGTTGTTTGCTTTAAGATGACAGCAAAAAAACTGTGCTCTGGTCTCAGAAAGTGGTGAAAAGCATTTATCAGCTCATCATGGTGAGTAATTAGGATGCTCTGAATGCTTAAGATAAGTAGAAAATAACATTGGACCACTGCAATCTGTTAAAAATGAAGTAGTTTTGTTTTTCAGGTTTTAAGACAGTAAAAATCAGGTATCAGCGCCATTTCAAGTCTTGTATGTTGTTGAAATAAGTTAGACTCGGATGCTAAAAGTAACGTTCAATATCCAGGCAGCACACACTTCTGCTAGTCTAAACATTTTACATATATGTGGGAATACATGGAGCATTTGCCATTCAAACTGTTACTCGGATTTCACTGCAAACATGCCTCCCTAAACAAGACAGACTTAAAGGCGCACTATGTAACTTGCTTGTTTCTATGGAGATGTCACTGCTCTGCCTTGAATGTTCCACAGTATGACATTAAACAGCTCTACCTTACATTTATTCAATTACAGGTGGTTTTATAGCCCAAAAATACCTACAAAAACAGGCATTTCGACTGTGAGTGGGGTTGTTTCTCCACAGATCTGACCTGTAATTTAGTCTGGTTTGGTCTCCATGAAAATAGAAAGGTTTACTGCCATACAGTGAAACATTCCAGACAAAGCAATAACATCTCCACGGAAAAAGGGAATTTGATGGACGTGTCACCAAAAAAGTTGCACAATGCACCTTTAAGTAGGGCTGCAAGATTAATCACATTAGATTGGAAACAGAGATTTGAAAGGAATTAGCAAAGAGCCAAAGCAGCAATTTTCGAAGCACCATAATTTCCTCCACAAACAAAAAAAATCTTGTGTCTTATTCTGTATAAAAGCTGCTAACCCTGTAGTTTAGATCTGTACAAACATGTTCAGAAATGTGATTCTTGTATTCGTTTGTCAGTTCAGATTTCAGTCTTTTTGTCGATTCTTCTGGATGCATTTAAAGGGTCCATTTTACGCTATTTTCTGATCTATGTTATAGTGTTGTTTCATCATCACAAACATACCCGGAGTTGTGTTTTGTTTCATTCACACATTTAACACGCAAACCTTCCATATTTAGGCTGAGTTCTTCTGTCAAACAGAAAACACTCTGTTCCACCTTGTGATGTCATCTGGTAATATAGGAAGTGCTCCACTGTGTTTCTAAACTACGCCTTCACTAGAATCATTTGTTTTCAATTTCAGCCCTGGAATTGCCAATCTCTATTGAACTTAAGGTAAAAAAATAATATATATATATATTATATATATATATGAAAACACTACATGACATCATGAGGTGGAACAGAGCATTTTGAGCTTTGGAGATGAAGACAGACTAATAATAAAGGATTACTCAGACATGTGTGAATTAAACAAAACACTCTATGTAGGTTTTTGCGGAAGTAACAACTGTAAAGCGCTTTGGGTATCTTGAAAGGCGCTATATAAATGCAATCAATCAATCAATCAACATTAAAACATGACTTAAAGCTCACAAGAGTCAATTTTGCATATAATAGGACCTTTAAAATGTGAACTTTGAACAGACTCCTATTATTGAAACATATCTAATCTAAATTAATCGCAATCACAATGCTTATGAGGAAAAACAATACAGCCCTAGAACAAATGAACTTCAGAGACCTTCAGATGTTTTCCTGATGTGAAATTATTTAAATAGCTGTTAAAATAATGCTTCAAATATCTGTAGTAGTGGTGTAACTTGGCACGGAGTTCATTTCCTGGAACATGCAAAAGCACGATAGATACGAAACACAAATACATTTAGGAAGCCTCTAAATGATTGTATTTGAGTTTAACGCTAATGCTAAGATCGCTCGTCAAACCCCCGTCTCCAAAGATGATAAAAAACACCCAGATGTGCCAAGATAAATGGACTTGACCCATTTAAGTATATTTATAAAAACACAGCTGGACTATTCAAACAGGACCACAGCGACTACAGACATTTCCCTTTAACGTGGAAACAATACAGACAAAACTCAAGACCACAGCGCTATTCAAATGTGTGGGAACAAGGAAATCAATGGAAAGAAAGAGGAACTATTGCTTTTAGCAATTACAGATGAAAAATTAAAGTACATATGACAGGTCCTCATGTTTTTCTATTTATGACTTGGTTTGGTGGGATAGTACCTGTGGTGAACATATATTACAGTTTTACAGCAGTTAAGTGGCAGTTTGTGGGAAAACTTTGAAGAGAAACGTACAAAAATACAAGAAGTAGCCCTGAGTTCTAAAACAGAATCCTTCTACATACTGTATGTCATCAACATAGAAAATTCCATCCAAAATGCACAAGGAAGGAAGGACATTTTTCTAACAGTTTAAACCTATTTTTTATTAGTCTAATCATAACTATTGTATAATTTAGACAAGTTTTGGCTCTTGTTAACATTGCAGTTGCTGGGTAACAGTTATGGAATTTCCTCATCGTGTCATATCTGCTGCCTGTGTCGAACCGGGATCTCTATCTCACATAGAGTTGTATCTAGGCCCCTGCCCTCCATCTGAAATCATAACATCATCACATTTTTAAACCATGGAAATAACTGGATGGGGTATTGCTAGCTTGTAGCTGACTCCCGCTGACGTAGTGGCCACTCACTGGAACTTCAACAAAAAAATCCCTGGGACGAGAAAGGATTTTCCTCATAGAGCGTAATGTAATCACAAACATCTCGTGTTTGGCTGACAGGGCACCTATAACTTTCAAAAATGTTGCATTTTATGGTGATTTTTACCTGTTTTTACATCATAAACTTTTTCTCTCTTTCTTGGTCAAAGTGTGTGCGCTAGAGTGCATTGGCGTGTGCTCGCAGGAGAAAAGAGCACTACTGCGCACGCTTAATCGGCCACAGCCACCGGAAGTACCTGGCAGGGCTAGGCTATTGACTTGAATGGGTGGCCATTTTTAAACCCTGGGGCTTGTCTCAAACATAAGCGAAACCCATTATATTATAAAAAGAATTCTTCTTTACTGCTACCATGGAAAAACAATGCACACACTAGCAAATAATGGCAAAAAAGTTTTAAAATAGTCTGAAAACTACACACAAAATGGATTTAAACCACACATTTTCAGAAGCCTGTGTTCAATACAAGCGTTCACGGTCCTGTTTAGGAGTTTGATTTTCACAAAAAGGGTGAGAGTGGCTAATGCTAGCTAGCTTGTGACTGTAATGTTATCTGAAAGGGACTCGATTAACTGTACAAAATCATCTTTCTTGTAGTAGTTCCAGCTAACTCAGTTCTTTGTGGTCAAGTTGTTAAAAACAAAGCTCAAATTAAAGTCTAACTTGAGTAACAGAGTTTCAGACAGGGAGGTGCCTATAGTTAGCCCCACTTTCCCAGTGAATATTGATGACATCAGCTACAAAGTATCAATAAGTGCTGATATGTTTTGTTCAACTGCAGATTCCTTTTGTTTTCCCACAGACACATACTTCAGTTACTTTTGGTTTGGGTTCATTTGAGGGACTTCACCTCTAGCCAAGAGGCAGCTGCCATTTTGTGGTCAACAGAACCTTACACTGATGATGCCTGACAATGTTACGCGTTTGTGGTCTGATTCCACTACTACAAAAACAACTTCAACAAAACACTCAGGTTTCAATGAAAATATCAGCTGCTGACCACATACTGCAAAATATTATCTAGACTTGGTTAAATGTTACGGTCCTTTCTGATCTAGGCTATAATGTTGTATTCTCCTCGAAAACACACCTGGAGTTGTGTTTTGTTACATCCACACATTTAACACACAAACCCTGTATGTTTGGGCTGAGTTCTTCTCTGAAACTGAAAACACTCTGTTCCACCTTGTGATGTAATGTGGTAATACAGGAAGTGCTCCACCATGTTCTTAAACTCCATACACCTTCACTAGAATCAGCTGGATAATTTCAGTCTTAGAATTGTCAGTCTCCTCTAAACATAAGGTAAAAGGTAGTTGTTAACTTCAGCACTACCACAGCATGACATCACAAGGTGGAACAGAACTTTTTGATCCTTGGGGATGTAGACCGAAAAAAGGATTATCCAAGCATGTGTATAAGGAAGAAAACACAACCCTGGGTATGTTTTTGACAAGACAGTAACTTTCTAACATGGCTTAAAACTCACAAGCTCACAAAAAGACTGAAATCTGAACTAACAAAAAATACAAGAATCACATTTGAGAACATATTTGTATAAATCTAAACTACATGGTAAACAGTTTTTTATGCCAAATAAGTCAGGAGATTTTGTTGTTTGTGGAGGAAATTATAGTATTTCAAAAAATGCAGCCTTTAGGATTTGGTAATTGCATTCATTCATACTGTGATTTTGTTTCTATTGTGAATAATGTTACATCTGTACAACACTCTCTCAGTTCTTAATGAAAATCTCAGCTGGTGACCACAAACGGGAAGCAGAGTTTGACTTTAACCCAAGACTGGAACCACAAAATTTCTGGATGGACGCGCTCCACTTAACGACGTGAACATCACTAAGGCCTGGTTACAGGGCTGAGGGGTCATTTAGTCTGTGGTGGTCAGACTTCGGCCAAACCGCTGCGGAGTTTTACCAAGAAACACATCACAAACTTCAGTAACAGGCGAAGTTCAGCTCAGCCTAATGAGCTGTTGTCAGATGGGTTCCATGTTTTAGGGCAGGCTTCATTGGAGAAATACATTTACTACTGTTCAGGTTATTTTGAATGTGGAGAGAGCTGCTCCTTTGTGATTTTATTAAATTAATGTGAAACTGGACTCTTATTGGTGGTTGAAATGTGATGATGTCATACTCCCAGATGGGGAATAAGAGACAGTTTTTCCCTATTGATCACATTGTACTTGGGAGTGAAATATCTAATAGTTAAATTCACACATTTTCGTTACTAGACCATAGAACTTGCAATATAGTACAGAACGTTTTAGCCAAATAGAGAGGCATGTTTTTCATTTTGGTTGTGTATGGAAAAAACACATCTATCTCCATGGAGAATGTTTCAAAGTATGATTTTTAGCTTTCTATTTCCATATAATCATACAGGTAGCATGCCGCCATTAGAAAGTTACATACTGTACCTTTAACGGGCCTATATTATACTGTTTTCAGAATTATGTTATAATGTTGTTTCTTCATCAAAAGCATACCCAGAGTTGTATTTTGTTTCATTTATACATGTTTAAGTTCTTCTCTCAAACTGAAAACACGCTTCCACTTTGCGATGTCATGTGGTAATTTTTAAACTCCATACGCCTTCACTAGTATCATTTGGATAATTTCAGCCATGGAATTTACAGTCTCTCCTGAAGAAAAGGTCAAAGGTAGCTGATAAGTTGAAAATTACCGCTTCATGACATCACAAGGTGGAACAGAGCATTTTGAGCTTTGGAGATGTAGACAGATTGATAATATAGGGTTACTCAAACGTGTGAATGAAAAAAAAAAAAAAACTCAAGGTATGGTTCTTAGGAGGTAACAATATTCTAACATGGCTTAAAGCTCACAAGACTCAATTTAATGTAATATGGGACCTTTAATGTGCATTGTACCCATTCAAACAAACATATAAATAAAATAAAGATACAATTCTCACCTCTGTTGGAGCAAATCCCTGATGGCGCTGATCTTCGTACTGCTGCGATGGGCCCTTCACTGGATAAAAGGCTGAACAGGAGTCTGGTTGGAAAGTGTTGAAATTCTCCCTGCGGTGATGGTGATAGTTTTGGTGAATCTCTTGACAGTTTGATGCAAAATATTCCTCCCTTTGTCTCTCCATCTCCTCTTTCTCTCTTTTCTTTCTGTCCATCTCTCGTATCCTCTCCAGCTCTTGTCGTCTCTCCATCTCTCTATCTCTTTCCCATTGGCGCATCTGTTCTTCTTTCTCCCTCTCCTCCTCTAATTCTCTCACTTGTCTTAGTCTTTCTTCCCTCTCTTTCGCGCTTACAGACTGCCTCCTTGCCTCCAGCAAACTTGAATTATCTTGTCTGTAACCGCCTTGATACGAATATCTCCTTTGCGATTGGTAAGGTCCAAGATCTCCTGCTTGCTCCTCAAAATTGTAAGACCTCTGTTTTGGTTGATTGACATTTTTCGAGATTCCAGTTTTGCTTGTCTCTTCGAAAAACTTCATCCTGTCCGCGAATGGTAAAATATCTGACTGCTCCATTCTCGAACAGGACATCGATCTAGGATAGGTGGAAGTCGACGAAGACGTAAACGCGCAAACTCCGTGGCGGGAAGGGGCCAAAAGTTTCTCATTGTTGCGTCTTGATTGGGGTTCATTTTCAGGTTGAAGTTTGTGTTCAGGAGTCCAGCGCCATCTTCTGGCTTTACCTGCAGGTGCTGGTTCTTCTATAACTCGAATACCAAAGCTAGCGACGCCTGAATCGACAATTTGAACAGCTCTTGATGCATTGGACTGCAAAACTTCTTTATTTGAATCTTGCAAACAGTTTTCAATAGTTGTTCTGGGATGTTCCAATGTAGTAGTAATGGTAGCAGTAGTAGTAGTAGTTGGCGCAAATGCAACTTTAACTTTCCTCTCTGGTACTTCAAACTCTCCATCTTCTTGAAAATCAGGGCCCTCTTCGTGAACTGTCTCCCCGCTACAAAGCAATCCTCCTGGGCCACGGCTGCTCTGAAGTTGAGCCTTCTTCCTCTGGATCTCATTTCTCAGGTTTGTGGCAAAACGCTCATTTCGTCTCCGATTCTTCCTGAGATTTCTAGTCGATTTCTTCAACGTTCCACTTTCTACTTCGATGATTTCAGTTTTCGTTTCGACTAAGGTGTCTACACTTTGGGCGGAACTTAGTGGCTCAAAATCTCTCTCATTGACTTGGTCCAAATTGCTACTACGAACAGATAAAGCTACAGGATCTTCTGGCACGCTAACAGACCTCCCCCATGACACTTGATTTGAAGTTTCACAATTTACCTCCAATTTTTCATTTTGAAATTCTTCTCCTGCACAATCTTCCAAAAAGACTGACCCAGGGGTTGAGCAACGACTACTGCCCCATTTATTGGACAAAGCTTGCAAAGAATCTTTATCATTTTCAGTATGGGACCACTGGCTACCGCTACTGGAAGATAGATTTGTTGAGTTTGGTTGGATATAAGCCTCTGTTGGCGCATCATCAAACTGAAGTAGCTGTAGTTGTGTGGCAAGTAGTTTTTCTGGAGCACTGTGTCGATGCAAAACATTTACAGAGTGCTTATTTTGAGGTCTAAAAATAGTAGTTTCTTTATTTGAAGACTTAGAACAAGGTGCTTTGTCTTGAATGTAGCAAGTCTCCACGCAATCCTCTTTGTCATTTTCTGAAGCAGGGAAGCCATTTTGAACAGACTTTCTCAACGTTGTGCAATCTTCGAACAAACCTGGCGCATTGGTGATTTCAATAGGAGCAGAGGAGCAACGATCACTGGCAATGTTTGGTCTAGTTTTAGTCGGTCTGAAACTGTCTTTTCTCGTAGGAGGTTGTGGCGGGTTGGACTTCATTTTAGCTTCACTGTTGCCGTTTTGTAAAATCGCAAAATCATTAACTTTTCGCTCATCTTCATAACAGCAAGAAGACGGACGTTCTTTCATTTCGAACTGTTTTGGTCTTGGTCTAGTTAAAGATCTAGACTTAAGTGCAATGAGTTGTCCATTATCCAAAACCTGGCTGGCATCACCGTTGGAGCCTAAATTTTGAAGTATGTTTTCCATAGATTCTCCTTCACCAAATCTTAAAGGTACAGTAGCGTAGTCGGACATGTTGGAGCTGGCGGAGAAGGAGCTGTAGGCGGAGTCTCTTTTGTTGTTGAAGAGGGCGGGGTCCACAGGTGAATTCTGGGAATCGTAGTTCACTTGTGGTGTGGGAGTGGGAGCGTCCAGGCTTTCCATGGAGCCCAGAGAACTGCTGCGATCGGTGGAGGAGTACGGACGAGACAGTGCACTCCACTGAATGGACAAGTCACTGCAAGACACAAAGTAGGAAATAGAATATATCATTATTAAATTGTCTTCAAAGGTTGTTGCCAATTCCACAAGTCAAAGCTTCTTCAACCGCTAAATAAAAATGTTTCATCATATTAAGTAATAGAATAAATAATGCAATTTTAATCGAAAATCTAGATCCAGTAATTTCTAATGATCAATGATCTGCTTAGAGGAAGAAAATTTTTAAATGGAGCAGATTAACAGTTTTTACTATTAACAATATACAGGAAAATGATATTAAAATACATATTTATACAACTTTAATGAGAGAAAAAAATAATAATAATAATGTAAATTGGTCAATATGGGCAGACCTTTTTTTTTTTATAGTATATATATAGTATATAGTCTATTTTGTAATTAGCTACATCTATATGTTCTTAATTGTGTACATTTTCTGCTAGAGGGTCTGTCAAATGCTTTTCTTCATGGACATTGCTTTATCTGAAATGTTTCACAGTATGGCATTGAAGTTACAGGTCAGATTCGTGGAGAGACAGCACCGCTCACAGTCAGAATGCCTGTTTCCCTAGGTATTTTTGAGCACCTGTAATTGAATAGATGTAAGGTAGGGCTGTTTAACGTCATACTATGGAACATTCCAGTCAGAGCAATGACATATCCATAAAACAAGCAGGTGACAGACCCTCAACCAAAAAGTGCACCTTTAATCCACTTCAAGTAATAAGTTGAACTGATCTATTCCTACTTTAGATTGTAGACATTTTAAGATATGTGCACAATTAGTTCATTGGTTTGAGAGAAAGATTTGCAGCCACTAAAGACAAAAAATATGGCTTTAATTTAACTCCACGAACAAGAATATCACTGTTAATTGTTTATAGCATGTATTTTATGACTAAACAACAACTAACTCATTAAAATACAAATTTGCCAGACCACAGCAAACTTTTTATGCCTTAAACTGTTTTAAGTCGGGGAAAAATGTGGTATTAATTACTCAAAATCTGAAACCGGGAAAACCACAAAAGAAAATAAATGTAAGTTTTGCTTTGAACAATAGAATTTGACGATATTGTTGAAGTTTTTTCATAAACATTGCACAGTTAGTCACTGTCTGTTCATAAGTAGCAGGTTTTCAGACAGTGAATCAAAACAGGCCTTAATAAAATGTATTGAAACGCATGTGTTTTTGATATCTCCCATATGTTTTAAAGGCCAAGAGAAATCCTTTTAGGAGCTCAGGGATTTTAGTCCCATCAAACTTATCCCAACTGTCCTTTGATTTACTGGACCACTTCCTGTGTATTTTCATTCATTTTTTGTGGTCTTTTTTATAATAATGTGATTCATAGTGATACATAGATGACACTGGTTGCAATGTCAATAGTTTAAAGGTCCTATATTAGGCAAAATTGACTTGTTTGAGATTCAAGCCATGTTATAATGCTGTTACCTCATCAAAAACATGTGTTTGAGTAACCCTTTATCATTAGTCTGTCTACATCTCCAAAGCTCGAAATGCCCTGTTCCACCTTGTGATGTCATATAGTGGTGCTTCTCAAGTTAACAGTTGCCTTTTACCTTTATTTCAGTAAAGATTGATAGAGCTGAAATTATACAAATTATTCTAGTGAAGATGTACTGGAGTTTAAAAACACAGTGGACCAATTCCTGTATTACTGCCTGACATCACAAGGTGGAACAAAGCATTTTGAGCTTGGAGTATTTTCTGTTTGAACTCAGCCTAAATTTGCAAGGTTTGTGTGTTGCTGTTAACCATGTGTGAATGAAACAAAACACAACTCCAGGTATGTTCTGGTGAAGAAAGGACATTATAACATAGATCTGAAAATAGTGTAATATAGAGCTTTTAAACTGAGCTGGAGGACAGGTCAGAATTTGCTGTTTAACTATCAGACTGCAGATTTGTTGACCTGGTTTATGGATAATCTTTCAGTAATTACTGGGCCAATCCACATGAAACAAAACTGTGTTTATTTCAGCCAGATTTTCAACCAAAACTGACCCGTTTGACCAGTCAAATCAAACGTTTTGGATTAATTATATTTATTTTACAAATGTGAGAAAGAACCATTAACACACGTTGTTTACATGCATACCAAAAATCTGAACCAGATTTCTGGAGTTTCTGATAGTTCACATCTGTGCAGATTGTGACAGGGAAAATTATGCAAAAAAAAAAAAAAAAAAAGGGCAAAATAATGTGTGCAATACCAAAGTGAACTAAAATGTTAAAGGGCCTATATTACACTATCTTTTTTCATTCACACATGTTTAACACACAAACACTACATATTCAGGGTTCCATTTGAGTTCTCTCAAACAGAAACCACACTGTTCCGTCTGCTGATGTGGTAATGCATGAAGAGCTCCACTGTGTTTTTAAACTCCATACATGTTCATTAGAATCATTTTGATGATTTCAGCCCTGGAAATGCCAATCTCTACTGAACAAAATGTAATTGTTAACTTGAAAATTACCACTTGATGACATAATAAGGTGGAACAGAGCATTTGAGCTTTGGGGATGTAGACAGACTAATAATACAGGATTAGTCAAACGTGGGAATGAAACAAAACACAACTCCAGGTATGTTTTAACACACAACATGGCTTAAAGCTCACAAGAATCATTTTTGTGTAATATAGGACATTAAAAGACTGAACTATTTGATTATTCTAGCTACCAAATATTTAAATGTCATCACACCCAATGGATATAATGCTACGTTATAAAAATCTACAGCAAAAAATACATAAGGGAAGTGAGCCGTGAGAAAATCCTGTTTAGATGAAGAGGAGTCTGAACGCACAGGGAGGAAGAGGAAACGAGAGGAGGAGAGACGGAAATCATTCACTTCTGTCCAATCATAGTCAATGACAGCCTGTGAACCCAGCTCAGCCTACACAGACGTATGCACATTCACAACCAAACACATGTATATAGTCCGGCTGCAAGTTTAATCACAATAATCAAAATTTGAATGGACATAATTAGCAAATCGCAAAGACTGTAATGTACTATAATTTTCTCCACAAAAAATACCTTTATTATTAGGATATACTCTAAATCGTTCTTCTGCATAGTTCTTCTGCAATTTAGATTTGTACAAACATGCTCTGAAATGTTTGCCTGGCCAGATGGATATCTCTGTGTATTTTTATACAGATTTATGTCAGTCTGGATTCCACTCCCTCTGTCATATCTCAAGCCAGGCCAAACATGATAGTCCAATCAGATATGTTTATTTCAGTGACACGTGAAATGAAGGAGCTCATTGGTCACATGTCATTTACAAATAAAATCCAATTTCTCTCACCTCAGCTGAATAGAGTTCAGTGCTTCGCACATTGATTCTGCATAAATATGCCATGTTTTTCAGGCCCTTGTGATATTTTTTTTTTGCTTTCTGATACGGACAGACCATGTGACTAACCCACCTGTCAATCACACTCATCTAAAAACAGTCATCAGACTCATATCTTTGTAAAATATTGGAGAAGGGCATATTCTGTATCCCAGGAAACTGAAATGTGACTTTTGTATTTGTTTTATATTGGAGGTTTTCAGATTCTTGAATGTGATGTCGTAGTCTCAGATGGGAGCAAGAGACAGGTTTTCCTATTAATAACATTGCACTTTACCATAAAATAACCATAAATTCACAAATGTTGAAACTGATCATTGATAGTACTGACTAGACTCACTGTAAAAGCACAGCAAAACACTGCATTTTAACTGTATCAATTTTTGCTGCCCTCCATCTGTATTAAATATAACTGGCCTATAGAATTCTATGATGTCATCTGAAAACGTCCAGTTTCAGGCGTTTTGTCAATTTGTCTGAATGCATTTAAAATGTGAACTTTCAACAGAATCCTATTATTAAAACATAAATTGTATATCTAATCACAATTACAATACTCACAATACTAATTACAATACAATAATCACCAAATCTTTTCAGCCTGAGTAATAGCTGTGAAAGTGTGACTGTAAATATATGTAAGTTATACAATTTTAAACAAACGCACGAAACAATTCCCTGTTGTGTCCTGTTCCTCTGTTTCAAACAAACATCAGACTGAACAAAATGTCCCAATAAGAGTTTATGAGGCTCCTTCCTCCTTTTGTGTCAGCGCTCTGCTCACATGCCACTGTTCTACCCCTCTACCTTCTCTCACGATCTCCTTCTCTCTGTATCTCCTTGTCTCTCTCATATACCCATCTCTTCTTCTTTATCCTCTACCTTCTCTTCCTCCTCTTCTCTCTCCTTCCTATGTTATCTCTCCATCTCCCTCTCTCTGTATCGCATCCTCGTCTCTTTCATATGCCCATCTCTTCCTCTTTATCGCTACCTTTTCCTCCTCTTCTCATCCTCTTCACATCCTTCTCTTTTTCTCCACCACACACTCTCCCCTCTCCTCCCCCACCTGTATCTCTACCTCCATATCAACCCCCGTCTTTGTCCCTTTCTCAGCCCCCTCCCTCTCTCTCCTTTACTTTCCTTTTTTTTCAACCACTTTCTCTCCCTCCTCTTCTCCTCATCTCTCTCTCATCCCCTCTCTCACTTCTCCTTCTTTCTCAACTCCTTGTCTCTGTTGGATCTGCCTCTCTCTCTCTCTCTCTCTATCTGACCCCTCTCATCCTCTCCTCACTGCCCCTTTTCATCTCTCTCCTCTCCTCCTCATCTCTCTTCTCACTCCCCCTCTCTCCTCACCCTCTCCTCCCATGTGACTGTCAGAGTCCCTCAGCTCAGATCAGATGATTGCTGTAGATTCAAACCTCCATAGAAACGCTTTTATGCACAATCTCTCCATCGCCTCCAGGACTCTTGAGTCAAAGAGAGAGACATGTTTCACTGATAAAATCCAAACAAGAATGCACTGAGACACTGACGCACAACCTACAGAGTTATTATTACATCTCGACTCAACTGGAACTTCCTCTTTCCTTTTGATGAACTGTATTTAATCTGGTCTGAGCTGTACGTCACCAAGATCATATCTGAAATTACAATATTGCCCCAGTGTTTCCAATAGATTTCATTCAGACTGTGGTGGCACAAACACTTCACTCAATAGTCATCATTTTCTTTGATTCAATTTGTGGACTTTAAAAATGTCCTATAATACACAAAATGTATTATTGTGAACGTTAAACAATGTTATAATTCTGTAGTAGTAGTAATATTAGTAAAATTAATAGTAATAGTAATAGTAATAGTAGTAGTAGTAGTAGTAGTAGTAGTAGTAGTAGTAGTAGTAGTAGTAGTAGTAGTAGTAGCAATAGTAGCAGCAGTAGCAGTAATAGTAGTAGTAGTAGTAGCAGCAGCAGCAGCAGCAGCAGCAGTAGTAGTAGTAGTAGTAGTAGTAGCAGTAGTAGTAGCATAGTAGTAGTAGTAGTAGTCATAGTAAAAAAAAGTAGCAGTAGCAACAGCAGTAGTAGTAGAAGTAGTAGTAGTACTAGGAGTAGTAGTAGCAGTAGTAGTAGCAATAGTAGTAGTGGCAGTAGCAGTAGCAGCAGTAGTAGTAGTAGTAGTAAAAAAAAGTAGCAGTAGCAACAGCAGTAGTAGTAGCAATAATAGCAGCAGCAGTAGTAGTAGCAGTAGTAGTAGTAGTAGTAATACTAGGAGTAGTAGTAGCAGTAGTAGTAGTAGCAATAGTAGTAGTAGTTGTAGCAGTAGTAGTAGCAGTAGCAGTAGTAGCAGTAGTAGTAATCTATGTAAAGTTGATAAGTTGATAGTTGTTGTAGGTAGTAGTAGTAGTAGTAGTAGTAGTAGTAGTAGTAGTAGTAGTAGTAGTAGTATTACTAGTAGTAGCAATAGTAGCAGTAGTAGCAGCAGTAGCAGTAGTAGCAGTAGGAGTAGCAGTAGTATTAGTACTAGTAGTAGTAATCTATGTAAAGTTGATCTAACTACAAAAACATCCACCTGCCTCTGCCCACACAGGTCAGGGAGGGCATCTGAGCTATTCCCGTTGTGACTGTTTGAAAAGCAGTTAAAATAGACCCATGCTTTTCCTGTGTGACTAAACATGTTGACTTTAGAGGCCAGTGAGGTCATCGGCTTCCTGGGCATTGTCGGGAGCAGAATATCCCTCTCTCTCTCTCTCCACCCTCACCCTCTACTTTTTTCTTCCTCCTATCTACCCCCTCTCCTCCCTCCCTTTCCACTCTCCTCTCTCTTCAGCTCTCCTCTCCTTCGCGCTTTCTCCTCTCCTCTCCTAGACTGTATAAAGAAGTGGACTAAAAGAGTGAGATGTCACCCATAATGTTTGGCTCCAGTCAAATAAAGTTCAACGAGGCTTGCATTTATGGGGTGAATTTGGAACCAAGTCCCATATTTGGATTCCGATTGCGACTATCACAGCAACCAAAGAGCCAATCAGGAACAAGGCTGTTGAAGGTAACTGATTTTTCTGCCCACAATGCTGATTTGACACCTTGGAACACTCTCAATCAAACCTGTTGCTAATGCAAGCGGGAGTGACCTTGGAGAAAGAAGGCGCCTGGTTTGTCAGTTATTACTGTTCATATCTTTTTTTCCCCCTGCAAAATAGTGAAATAAAAACACCAGCGGTGGTGAAAAGTGGTTAATATGAACATAAACTGCAAGAACAAAATAATGAGCAACAGTTAGTGAGAGAGGGGGGACAGTTTTTCAGTAGAAAGTGATTTGGAGCTAGAGTTGATGGAGCTAGAAGCGCGCCCATCTTCACTTCCTATTTGGAACGCACTGACTAGTGGTTTGGCTATGTCCATTCATACAGTCTATGCTCCCCCCTCCCTTGCTCTTTCTGTCTACCAACCCCCCTTTCCTCTTTCCTCTTCCCCTCTCATCTCTTTCTCTGCCTCTTCCCCCTGTCTCCCCCATCACCTCTCAACCCTTCTCTTCTTTCTCTCTCTCCACCTTTTCTTCTCCTCTGATGCCTCTCTGTGCTCTCTCTGCATTGGTGACTAATGTCCTATGAAGTCATAGTCTCGATATAATGATTCACACAATAGGAAATAAGAACAATGAATGAATGACCCTTTTCCTCCAGGCTGGGCACTTTTGGTCAGTTGCAAAAGAAACTCTGCTGATGTCATTGGATTTTCCCCAACCTGCTTTTACAGAGAGAAATAATAATACGCCTAAAAGATTTGAAGACTAAAATCTGAACTATATTGTGCAAAAATGTTGTTACCTCAAACAAAAACCGGAGTTGTGTTTTGTTTCATTCACACGTTAGAGTAACCCTTATTTAGTCTGACTACATCTCCAAAGCTCAAAATGCTCTGTTCTACCTTGTGATGTCATGTAATGGTAGTTTTTAAGTTAACAGCTACCTTTTACCTTTTATTTAGTAGAGATTGGCAATTTCAATGGCTGAAATTATCCAAATGAGTCTAGTGAGCTAGTGAAGTTGTATGGAGTTTAAATACCCACTGAAGCACTTTCTGTATCACAGATCATATTCTGTACCAAGGTGGAACAGAGTGTTTCCAGCATCATGGCAAAGTTGTTAATGTTATAATTAGTTTCATTTTGGTTAGAAGACACGATTAGCCATTAAAATTGCCTATTATAATTTCAGATGGAGGACATGAGCTTGCATAATTTTATGGGAAATTCACTGCTTTTGAAAGTAAGTTTCAAAGTTAAAAACACCAATGTTGAATCCTATAATAAGGTCTGCAAACATTCTTATTGTGGATCCAACTTTCGTCAATAATAATGTCATCACCTTATATTTTAAAAAATCACATGTACAAGATGCTGAACTTTGTGTCAGTTTTTGCTTCATGTGAATAGTCCCAGTAATTAAAGAGATATTAAAGATGTTATATTAAGTAAAATTGACTCAAAGCTTTTAGCCATGTAATAATGCTGTTACATCCTCAAAAACATACATGGAGTTATGTTTTGTACCATTCACACATGTTTGAGTAATCCTTTATTATTAGTCAGTCTACATCTCCAAAGCTCAAAATGCTCTGTTCCAACTTGTGATGTCATGAAACAGTTAACAGCTCCTTTTACCTTTAGGTCAGTAGAGATCGGCAATACCAGAGCTGAAATCATCTAAATGATTCTAGTGCAGGTGTGTGAAATTTAAAAACACAAAGGAGAACCTGTACAAAATGTTTTCTGTTTGAGAGAAGAATGCAGGGTTTGTGTGTTAAACATGTGTGAATGAAACAAAACATAACTCCAGGTATGTATGTGATGAGGAAACAACATTAAAACAGATCAGAAAACAGTCTAAAATATAGCTGCAAGCAGCAATGTGGAGGCCTTGCAGCGTAGCTGCAGAATAGGCAAGAGCAAGAATGGTAACAGACGCACAATGAAATTTCGTTTTTAATCCAAGCACATCAATAGATATCCCTTTAAACAAGTTTTTATGCAGTTTGGTGTCAATATGAATGCATGTCCAACTTTGACCAGCTGATGGCGCTATAGCTCTTCAGGTAGAGACCCCAAAATGACTGAAATTGATCATGGGCCTGGCCTGAATCAACATGCCAAATTTCATAGCTTTATTCCAAGGCGTTCTATGGGATACCCAAAAAGAGCATTTTTGACTAAATTCAGCATGACCGCCAAATGCAGATGGTCACCTGATAAACATTTTACAACACGTATCACCGAGTGAAATAGCATCAGCAGGCACAGGAATTTTCTTGGAAATACAAACAGATCAAGAGATATCACTTAAAACACCTTTTTGCTAATTATAGTGCCCCCTAGAGGTTGAAGGTTAGGAATTTTTCTGAGGGTCTCGAGTGAGGGGTCCTGAGTACATGTATCAAGTTTGGTGTCAATATGTCAACGCGTCTTGGGAGCTTTGCTGTCAAGTTTAATGGTCATTTGCAAAGAGATAAATGAAAATTCCATTCAAAGTTTTTTGTGACAATTGGTCTAAAGATTGTATGTGCCAAGTTTCATGAAGATTGGACAAAATTTGTGAGAGGAGATACATTTTGAAGGTTTTTGATAAAATCCAATATGGCGGAAAATCACGTCATGGGGTGCACTGAACTTGTCTTAGCCCAAGGACTCCAAGGACACCTTGTTTGTGAAAATTGGACAAATGGATGAATAGTTATAAGCGTGAATACACATACAACATTGACTTGTTGGTGGCGCTACATCTCTTGACCCATTGACCCCAAATTGGCTGTGAGGGACCATGAGCCTGTCCTGAAACAGTGTGCAAAATTTCACAACTTTTTATGAAAGCGTTCTATTGGCTGCCATAGACACCCCAGACAGAAATATATTAAGATCGCATACAAAAACAATGGAGTCCAATTAGCCCTTCACCATAAACCAGGCAAACAAATCTGTAGTCTAACAGTTAAACAGAAAATTCCACTAGGGAATCGTGACCTGTTCAGTTTAAACAAAAACGAAATGGCGTCCTCACCTGTGGTCGTTGTTTTGCCAGGGCAGAGGGCAGGGGGCGGGGTGGAGCTGCATGGCAGAGGGGGGCGGAGGGGGGAGAGGGGCAGAGTCTGCAGGGGGGAGGAGACAGGGGGGAGGTGGGGGGAGAGGGGTGGAGTCTGCAGGGAGGAGGAGACAGGGGGGAGGTGGGGGAGGTAAGGACGGCTCCGAGATCTGGTCCAGGTGCCACGAGTGAGGTCTGGGGACTGGCGCGCTACGTCTGTCGCAAGAGACAAACAGAAAGAGAAATCATTATTATTAGATTATTATTATTAAAATTGCTTCACTTTCATTTTCAACGTTCTTAAGTCTCCCCTCACTTTGCTCCCAGCACTAAGTCACAGCCCCTTCAGAGTGGCATCACAATGAAATGAAACTACTGCACATTGGTTCAAATTTGTGAAGTTGTAGTATATTGGTTTGTATCCTGCTTTTATATTTTTCAGTTTTGCATTATTGAAAAATGCCATGAGGGAGCATGGGTGATGTAAGTTTGTGGGCCGAATCTTGTATAGGATTGTAAGGAGAGTTCGAATACAGCCCGGTAGAGATCACTAGATTACTCAAACATGCATGGCCGACATATAAATCTGCTTCAAGACATGTTTTTGATGAGGGAAAAATGTTATAACATGGTAGAAAGATCCAAAAAGTCAATTTCATACCACCAGAACAGAATCAGTCAGAGATTATAGTACATGAAACTTCTACACGACAGTCCAACCAGTGCACACTAATATAACTGCACACTTTATCTATACTGTCCTCATGCAAGACACTTCACCACAACATGATGTTTTTGGCTGTCCATGAAAACCCCATTGAACATTTGATTCAGTAGTTTTAGCAGTGACCCAAGCAGTGCATTCCTCTGTGTCCCTGTGGTACTCTATAATATTATTAAAGAGATTTCCGATCACTTGAGTTTTGAGCCAGACTGACCCCCAACAGAGACTGAACCAGCACAAAAGAATCAGTCCAGATGCAAAGTATGAATGGAGCTTTATAAACCACTTTAACACAAGTTTGGACGGCTACCAGCAGGAAATAACTGAATGAAATATAAATCATCTTATGCCAAGCAGAATTTTTTGTCATGGAATTTAGCTGATTTTACAGGCATTTACTGCATGGGGTGGTTCAGCTGTACATCATTTGCCCTTTAAGATTGCTGGTTGGATAGTTATGACCAATATTGCTGCAGTGTACCAGTCTGCAGAGGTCTGTTAAATGTTTGTCTCCATGGAGATGTTATTGCTTTAAGATAATGGAAATTCATTATCTGCATTTGACTCATCCTTCGTTGTCTCTGGGTTAAACCTGTCAGGAGCAGTGAGAACCATCTCCGGATCTTGAGCTAGTCTTAGTCAGGACTACCTTAGCTGGAGAATTTGACCTATTGTGCATGTTTTGGGTTGATGGGAAAACTCAAATACAGGGATCATGTGCAAACTCCACACAGAAAGGCTTGGGAAACTGGAACCTTCTTGCAGTGACTCCCCTGTGCTTGGAATGTTTCACAGTATGACATTAAATTGACCTAATCAGAACGTTTTTCATAGGGGGTGTATTTATTACTCCTAAATCCCTTAATATGATCTGTAACTTGCCCTGCTTGTTTCTATGGAGATAGATTTACTGCCATATGGTGGAACATTCATGTTAAACAATAACATCTCCATGGCAGACATTGGACCAAAAAAGTTAACCAGTACACTTTTAAAAACTAAAACAAAAATGAACAATTCAAGTTTAAACTGTGGATTCCTACTTCTTAAACTAATTGTTAATGAAGTGATGTCTCAAAGTGGCATCTTAAAGTGCATATGACAAGTTTTCATGTTTTTCTGGTTATCTTAGTACTTGGTTTGGTGGATTAGTAACTGTGGTAAATATGGCAGCGTGTTGAAAAGTTGAAAAGAAAAGTACAAAAAGTCAGGAGGTAGCGCTGAGTTCTAAAACAGAATCCCTCAACGTATGTCATCAAGATGGAAAACTTTCTGGGGGTTAAAACCTTCATTTAACAAAATAAAACTGTAGTCATTTACTTTAATAAGTCTAAATATAACTCAGCCTGTGTAATTTGTTTTGGCCCTTGTTAACATTATGGTTGCTAGGTAACAGTTTTCCATACATGTGTCATATCTGCTGCTCACATCCAGCCAGGAAGTACAATTATAAAACTTCACTGTAATTACAAAACTAGAAAAAAATTAGGTAAGATTTTTAGTAAACTTTTAAATACAATTATTAGGGATGTGACAAGATCTGGTGTCTCGTGTCACAAGATATTGTGTCATAAGTTATTGTGTCACAAGATCTCGTGAGAAAATTGCCACAAGAAAAATTATCTTGTGAGATTTGTTTCCCATGTGTTTATGTTTGGACAAAAAAGGTGAAGTGTTGGTGAGTTACATCTGTTATAGTTCCAAAAAGCAATACTAGAATAGCTACCAGGTATTAAATAAAATATATACAAAATAGTGAGGACAAAATCTGAAACTGGCAATAGCAAAATGTATATATTAGGAATTATGTTAAAATCTCATCTTGTCTTATTCTTGTGGACCCAATCTTGTATCTTGTATCATCTTGTGGAAAATGTGTCTCGTCCCATTTCTAAAAATTCTGTTAAATACGTTTTAGTGAAATCAGTATTCTGTCGTGTTCAATCAAAAAAGTTTGCAGCTAAATACGTTAGTACTCACATAGTCCCCTGACATGACACAGGGGAGTAACTGAAAAATAAACATGGTGCAAAAGGAATGCAGCCGTGGGCATTTGAATCAGGAAGAGCGGCCATTTTGTAGGTTTATTGTAGATGTTATAACACGGGGAGTGGAGCTGTGCCCAAAGTAAACACTTGTACTTCCTGATTCGTGCCTATTCTGAGAGATTTACGAGTCTAATCTTACTATCTGAGATGTACTGCCCTTAAATTATCCATGCGAAAGTTTATTATTCCTAAATATGCTTCAGTATTTGCATGGGTCCTTGTAAATGTGGGAACCAGCCAAACTTAATGCTGTTATTGAAGGCAACATAAACAGTACGAGACCTCGCTGACCTCCTCCCACTGCAATTTTCTCAAAGATTAGCAGATTTTGACGGATGATTCAAAACGGAAAAGCAAACTCCGTGGACACACTATTAAATAATGACGAATGTTGTAAGCATTTGGTACAGAAGAGGGCAAAGAGATGGTGGGAAAATATTGAATAAATTGTCGAATAAAGTTTTCATATTCAAATTCAGATGACAAGATTGTTTTTAAAGCAGTACAGAAGCAAAAACATTTGAGAGAAAACTGAAATCTGAACTGAGAAACTGAAACATTTCAGAATATGTTTGATATGACTTGAAAAATTGAAAAAAGAAAATAAACTGTATAATGTAGGGTTGGGTATCAATAAGAATACCAATACAATACGTAAGTCGATACATATGCCACAATACGATACATTGATACAGTGCACTTTTGATTCGATACTATATATTTAAGAATGAGAACTTCGAAGACCTTGTGCCGAAACGTTGCACGGTTTGTCCAAATAAATCTCACAATTTCCAAGTAAGATGGTGTGCAGGATTTTTCTCTGATACTATAAAACAATGGCTGCGATACTAAAAGTCTTTGTTCAGTCACTTCTTGTGCAAAGTGAAGATGAAACACTCATTTTAATCAAGAAAACAGTGAAAATGTCAAATGTATTGCATAAATGAGTTTCCTTTCACTAAACAAGCAAGAAAACTGTAGCACTGTGACCAAATATATATACACCAAAAATACTCTTTGCGATACATCAGCCCATGATATCAATACTGTATCATCACATTAAAAGGATTATACGATATATCGATATTTCAATATTTTTGTACACCCCTAGTATCATGTATGTCTATGGTGGAATGTTCAGCAGTTACCATGGAGAGAAACAATGTGCACCTAAATCAAAGTTAAGAGTCAAAAGAGTTTAAGATAGTCTAAAATCACAAGAAAAAATATAAAATAGATTTAAACAACAAATTTTCAGAAGCAGAAGTGATCACTGCACACATTCATGGTCCTGTTTAATTTAGTACAATTTTCAACAAAAATGTGAGAGTGACTAATTGAAAAGCAGTTGCTAATGCTAGCTAGCTTGTGACTGTAATTTTATGTGTAAGAGACTTGTTTTAAGCGCACAAATCATCTCATCTGTCACAGTTAAAACAAAATCAGCTCTTTCTGGTAAGGTTGTATTAAAGCTTAGTTCAGATTAAAGTTTAACTTGAGTAACAGAGCACCAGATAAAGTTGGAGATTCAGGTAGCAACACAACAAGAGACAAACTGAAAAGATACAAACTCAGATCTTTAGTGGTGCTGTTTTCAAAGAGGCTCCAAAAAGTCTGTTCTTGAGATTTATTGGACAGGAAACATCCACAAAACTAAAACTCAGCTCTGGGCGATGATAAGACAGTGAACACCTCCCAGGACTCCTACCTATAAACTTAGAAAACAAGAACCACAACAGTCCCAAAGCTTCCGGTCTCCTTTGACACGATAAAAACAGGAAAGTGAAATCACTCTAATCATGATTTCAGTTATTGCTCCAATTAAAACAGCTAAAAATATATTATTATAAAAGGTGGACTATGTCACGTTTATGGAGGAGGGGATTTTATCTGGTTGTTTCCACTGCTTGGTCTGTGTATGTGGTATCTATACCTGGGTTAGATGACATCACAACATTTGAAACCAATATTATTTAAAGTTGCACTATGGTCATGAGCTCTGGGTAGTGACCGAAAGGACAAGATCGCAGATACAAGCGCTCGAAATGAGTTTCCTCCGCAGGGTGGCTGGGTGCTCCCTTAGAGATAGGGTGAGGAGCTCAGTCACACGGGAGGAGCTCAGAGTAGAGCCACTGCTCCTCCACGTCGAGAGGAGCCAGCTGAGGTGGCTCGGGCATCTGTTCCGGATGCCTCCTGGACGCCTCCCTCGGGAGGTGTTCCAGGCATGTCTCGCCGGGAGGAGGCCCCGGGGAAGACCCAGGACACGCTGGAGGGACTATGTCTCTCGGCTGGCCTGGGAATGCCTCGGGGTTCCCCTGGAGGAGCTGGAGGATGTGTCTGGGGTGAGGGAAGTCTGGGAGTCCCTGCTTAGGCTGCTGCCCCCCGCGACCCGGCCCCGGATAAGCGGACGAAAATGGATGGATGGATGGATGGATGGTTGCACT